TGACAAGGTAGTGGAACAGTATCGGATCACGTTGAGAAAGTTAGACATCACGTCAACTCCTTTCAATCAGCTGAGCACAAAGGAACAGTTTGGAGTTGTCGTTTCGAAGTACAGATTTCTTGAAGTTTGCCGAATTCAACGAGCCATTGAAGTCAATGATGTGTCGTCTTCATTTAACGCATCCATATTTGGTGAAACTCTGGGAGCAGATGTACACCTGTGTGAATTTTTGTTGTCGGCTAGGCTTCAGTTGAATGTGTCTTCACCTTCTGCGTCAGTCCAATCGACCCGTCTTTGAATTTATCTTCATCAAGTCCAAACGACGCGTCTTTGAATTTGTCTTCAGGAAGTCCAATTGACACGTCTTCAACAAGTCTGACCGAAACAAGTTCAAGCACATGCCCACTAGTGTCCTCCATTTCTCATCCTGCGTGCCCTGCGTGCCCTGCGTGCCCCATCCTGCGTGCCCTTGATTTCTGTTTGCTTCCCCCATATTCATCATGCATTTCTTGTAATCGTGATCCGAGCCATAATCATGATGCCATCAAAGTGACTGTAGTTACCTTGACTGGTTCAAAGAATGGCAGAAAATCAACCCTAAGATGTCGCCATTGCAGCATAACATACCAGTATGATTGTCATGGTAACCAAATAGTCAGCTACAAGCTGCATAAGGAAAGCAGGCAGTTTGTGAAGGCAAGCAATACCTTCTACGTTGAATTGCAATTGTTCGAGCTGCAGTGTAGCGTGGCGTGAGTAATGCTTTCATTTTCGTTTTTTGCGGGTCGTACTAATCAGCATCAACACACCGTCAACACACGTCAACACATTGATAGTAACGTCAACACACCGCCAACACTTAAAAATGCATGGAAAACAGAAAACAGATGTATCATACTGTAATGTATACGCTTAGAAATAATTTCTATTTAATTGAATTTACATTTCACTACATTTCAAGGGAGATTTTTCACACAAAAAACTGCCATTATTTGTTCTTAAAATTAAACCTGGACATGCTTCAGGTAGAGTACTTTATAGGAGTACTTTGCCTTTCAGCTCATAGAATCTTGATCTTCTAGAAAACACACATGTACATGTAGATCCTTTGTTGTAGCATGTGTCTTATCCTTAGCTAGAGCAGCATGAGGGCACCCATGCATAACCAATTAGCAGTGAGTCATCACTGGGTCACTTTAGGCCCAGTATTGATTTAGGAAATATGTGAAGGAAGACAGGAGACATAGAGAACCCGCCTTCCCCCTACTTTGAGTTGGTCATTGTTCCACTTGAATTTGAGTAATTCTTTACAGACATGGTGGATGCTACAGTAGGTGACAATAGTCCACAGCATGTATAGTAAGTAGATCGGGGTATCACTCTGTCTCCTTTCTTGGACAGATCATGTTAGACAATCATTTGTTTCTTCAGTAGTCTGATCGAATCGATATGTTTATCAATTCTAGGAATGATTTTTGAATCTTTTGTATTTTGGTTGTTACTGTTAACCTCATGCAAATCAAATCCTTTTTCATTTTCCCGTGTAGCACTGGGTTTGTGCACAAGTCTATGGTGTAGCACTTTTTGCTACACGCCCTGGCCCCTTTTTCATTTTCCCATGTAGCACTGTGTAGCAGCGGGTTTGTGCACAAGTCTATGGTGTAGCACTTTTTGCTACACGCTGCGGCCCCTTCCTTTTCTTGCGTCGTCGTCTAGCATTGTGTAGCATTAGTGTGCACTTGAAGGTCTGGTTCTTGGACCATCCGATAGGCTGTGCCTATATGCAATGCAATGCATCCTAAATTGTTGGGTTTTTCCGAATTTTCACACTTTTTGTGAAATGTAGCAGCTTACATGAAATCTTTACATCTACACCTTCAGAAATTTAACAATATATTGAAACTCCTAGTTATGATGCAGTTCAAACCATTTTATTATACAGATCCTTAAGACCAGAAACTGAAATCCGTCTTGCTGAGCTGTAAACGTTTTCAGAGAATACACACGGGGGATAAGATCAGTTCATCTTTTGAGGAAGTCCTTGAAGAATATAACATCAAGAGCAAAGTCAACTACATCATCACGGACAATGCATCAAATATGAAGAAGGCCTTCAAGGTGCAATTTCCCCAGGATGAGGACGAAGGAGAGACGAACGAGCTAGAAGAATTGGCTGAACAAGAACTAATGCCTAATGACCTTGATGACGAGACAGTATGGGAAGAGCTGGCAGCAGAGGATGAAGAAGCAGTCAACGATGTCTTGAGCATGAATTCAAAGAAGCGGCTGTCTTGTTTTGCTCACTCCTTGCAGCTCGTCGTTAAGGATGGTATTAAAGAGATGAAAGGTACCGTAATTGAGTCAGCATATCCTAAAAGCATATAAACTATCGGCACTACTTCACAGGAGCACCATCTTCAAAGAAAGGTATTTTTATGCAACAGAACAGTCTGTTGCAGATATTGGATTATTATCAAATGAGCCAAAAAAAATTCAATATGTACAGTTTCTATGAAAGAACATGGGAAAAGTATATACATGTTGATTTCCCCTATAATGAGTGAATAAACTACTGCCTTTTAGGAAATGGCAATCATTGCCAGTTATTTTAGACTGTAACATGTAAGGTAAATGACTTGCAAGGAAAACATCTAATTTTCAGCAATGCATAATATACAGTGCTCATGGTTTAATACAGGTTTGAAGACACATTTGGAAGCAGCCGGTCCATACCAGCTGCAAACACAACAACATGGAATTCGACATTCATCTAACTTTCCTCAATCATCAATTTAGACCACAAGAAACTCAGTGATGCTTGTGGCGAGGACTTCAATGCTGTTCCTTTCTCAACAAGAGAATGGAGCCAGATGACAGAGCTTTGTTTGGTATTGCTGCCCTTTTCTGAGGCAACAGCACTGACACAAGGTATGGATTTTAAAAGATCCTTGTGTTTTTATTAATAACTAAGTTAAAGCCAAAGCTCACTGGTACATTAATGTAAACTGCATAGCCCTGTAGTGACAAGGAAATACCAGATAGTACATGTAAGTAAACAAATTCCACTTATTTCATAGGTGACCAAGTTGTTACAATCAGCATGGTTGTACCAACTGTACTGGACCTCTACAACCACATGATGAAGACCAAAGAAACAGCAAGACACTGCAGGGTTCTCATAAGCAAGCTGGCTGAATCACTCCAGAAACGATTTCAAGGGATTTTTGCATCATGCAACATGGTGCAAGGGATGCCAGGTGCACATGATGAGCCCTTTGCTGATAAAATCTATCTAGTGGCGGCTGTGTTGGACCCTCAGTATGGCATGCAGTGGGTAGAGGTCGAGTTAAAGAATACTAATCACGTTGACACCACATCGCTGCAACAGCTAAAAGAAGACACCAAGGATATGCTTCAGGATACACATTATTTTTATCTGCTTGAAAGAGTACTTTCGTTACTTTGGCAGATACACCGATACATTTTTATCATACATATGAAAGACATGCATTGCAGAGTTCTGCATTCTTACATTACCACTATAGCCTCATTTGTAATCTCTAAAATGCAAGTTTCAAATGCAAATGCAGTGATCTAATAGCTACTTCTGATAGTGATCATAGTTTGTGGGTATTGCTTTCAGGCACCTTATAACCTTCAAGAACAAACTGCTGTGTATATGTTGTCATGTAGCTCCTGTACAACGGGCGGATTTCAAATTGACAAGAACAGCACTGATCTGCGCACTTCCGGGTTTGAATGCGAGGCTCTCAGTGTGAAGCAAACAGCTTTCATTGTTGAATATGCACTGCATTGCCTTTTATGGCGTTCCTAACTCATGCATGAGTAAATTTGTTGAGAAGCCTCTGTTTATTCAGCACGGAGATCCTCACTTTGAACCCGAACGTGTGCAGATGGAGCTAATGTGAAATGCGTCAATACCTTAGTTACTCTTCTTTACCTTCTTCTGGCAACTAGATTTAATCGTAACGTATGCGAAGGCCGACATGGAAGTATCTGGAGAATTCCACCATGGAGAGAGCGAACAGTCAGCAGCAAGCAGTGAAGACAAATACGTAGTACCTGCCAAAATTCCACGACTCTTGGCAAAGTACAAGAAACTGCGCAACAGGAACAAGAGTGGCGATCATTCAACATGTAGAATGCAACTGCTCCGGTACTTGCAACAAGTCCAGGAAACGGACATTGAAGACAGTCCTCTCAAATTTTGGCAGCAGCACCGCAGCAAATATCCCTCACTGAGCAACCTTGCACTGTCGCTATTGTCAGTACCAGCTTCAAGTGCTCCAGTAGAGCGTGTGTTTAGTACAGGTGGAATCATAATGCGCCCCCACAGAGCCTGAATTTCAGCTAAAATGCTGGAAATCCTCATGTTTCTCAAGTGTAATCAAAATCTGTCATGCTTCAAATAGAGGACAGTGCATTCACCTTGATGACCCTTTTACACAGTTAATGAGTCAGGTACCATATGGACAGTGCAATTCTTTGTTAGAACCTTAACTTGTGGTCGTCTTTTGTTTTTCTTCACTCTTGTTCCAAACAAAGTGACAGGAAAGTATTCTTACGGTAGAATGTTTACACATCAGTGAGGAAACTTGGATTGGTAAAATCATGATTTTTATACACAGCTTGCAGGTGTGCCAAGTATGGCAGCCTTTGGGCAAAGTATAGAGAGTCGAGAGCTTAGAGGACCAGGCTGTCAGCAGAGGTGGCTGAGCTGTCCAAGTTCAAAGGTAGGCCTAATTTCAGAAAATATACATGTAGCAAGCCTAACCTAATTTCTCATGTACAATGTACATATACATGTGTATTTTTAGGAGTATCAAAACTGAACTCTACAGAAAGAACCATCAAAAGCACTACACAGAGCACCCTCTTCAGAGCACGGTTCTGATTTCTCTTTCTGTATGTCAAGTCCCTGTAGGTTCACTCAGTTTACAATATAAAGAAAAACTTTAACTTATTTCATGTTGCTGTTCGCTTACTAAACACATGTATGCTCAGGTAAAGTGCATTTCCGACATTTTTCATTTTCTCTTGTGTCATCAAGTTTCTTGGAAATACCTTTTAGAACAGGAAATGGTAGCTCATTTGTAAAACAATGCTCGAATATTTAATTTATTAAGTGGTGATTTATTTCAGAATTGCACACTGTTGTGGACAAACTGAAGGCATTGTGTAGCAATGCTACTTTGGCTTCAGAGAAAAATGACGGGGACTCATCCTTCTCTGACTCTACTCCAGTCAAGAAGCCAAGGAGTAAAAGCAAGGTAGAATCAAGAGATCATACCATTGTGAGACTAATGAATTTTCATAACTTTCAGTTTTCAGTTAACAATGCAAATTTTCTCTCAAACGTAGGGTCCAAAAGAATTTTCACCCTAGGGAAGGATATTGTGTATTGAAGGATTACAGTTCCCCGCGCTAAATTTACCAGCTCACTTCTTCACATGCCCTTGGGTCAGCAGGGTCACAGGAAATGCACAAACCTACATAAACGGTGATGTAGTTTGACAAAATGTCATATTCCTTGTCTAAATCGCCATGATTTAAAGTTGGTGCAAAGTTTGCATAATTTGACTCCCATGATAATTAGCCATTAAACTTGTGCATGCAGATAGCTTCCCCAATTTTGCATGTTTCTTACAACTTGTATCTATGGAAAACATTATGCTTTTTCCCAATCTTGCACAATATTTCAGGTTCACATTGGGCATGGTGTCCTCATGGACAAGGATGAACTACTGACCATTTTGCAGGGTAGCGACAGTGTGACAAAGTTGGCCAGGGACCCCTTTACTGCCCTCTCCATCAGTAGCCTGAGGGATGAGGTGATAGGTAAGAGCTTGACAGGGAAGAGGAGCAATGCCCATCAGGACAAGGACCCAAAGAAAGCTCTTGACCCTGCAAGAGTGAAAGCTCTTCTTGGTACATCTTCTTGTGAAGACCATGAAAAGATGTTTTGTGCCTGAAAGAAAGTTTCACTACTCCTTCTCTAATCTTGTTGCTTGCATTGTTTTGGATGATTGCTCTATACCTGAGCAGTTTAGCCATATTTGTAATTAAGCGAGTCTCATAAGACAATAAGTGATTGATTAATAGTTCACATCTTGTTTTAGGAAAAGTAAAACGCAAACCAAATTAACAAAATATGTGTATGTGTACATGCATGTACATGTAGTTGACTATTAACACTGATTAAGCTGAGAATAATTTTGGTGCTATACATGAACAGTACAAGTAAACCCATCGTGCGTCTACATGGTTGTTCTAGGTTGTTAAAATGCTGCTCTTTTAATTTTTCTTAATGTTGCCGTATGTTACCAATTTGTTTTCCTGTATAGAATACACTTTAAAGTGGTTCCTATCAGCTTCAGGTGTCCTACTGCGTCAGTCCCTTGCCAACAATGTTAAGGAACTTTCTAAATCAAGGGAGTAGGAAACAGCTGCAGTTGGCACCCATGGAACAGAACATTTCTAGGCAACATATATTGTTTGTGCAACATTTTTAGTTTGATATTAAAGAGCAACTCAAAGGAAAACATGTTTTCTCTGATTTTTTTCTATTGAAACAAATATGGAAGCTTCCAAATTGATTGCAGTGTCATTTGTCTTCAGACCTCAACTATGACAAGCTAATGAAGGCTTTTTTTTTCTTTTCTAAAAAGATTTTGCAGTTGACATACACTAGTCAAAAAAATTCAGGACCACCTTTAATTTTGTCATTGTCATGTAAAACTATGAATAAGAAAAAAATACAAAGTGCTGCAGACCTTGTGGACAGTGTGTGTCTCAACCACGATATATTGTTGTTATTGTAGATCGCAAATATACTTAACTGTGGCCCAAATAATAATTCTGATGATATACGTGTACAGAGGACTGACTAATACAAGTGCTTGCTGATGCAAAAATCCCAAATACTGGTATGTCTCATTCTACATGTAAATACCTAATGACATTTCAATTTCAGAATATTTGCTACCAGAGCATTCGGGAACAGCCAAGAAAAAAACCTCAAACAAACCGATGTGAGTGTTCAAAATTTGATGTTTACCCCACATGTTCAAAAACTGAAAGAACTAGACCCCACTCATTGCTTCGAGAAAAATTACAAGTTAAGAACGGCTCTTCTATTTTTCTTTATTGGAATTCTTCACCAGTCTTATCAGTTTATGTAAATACAAAGCAGTTTATCGCACATTGTGAAATGATTACTTTGAGTTTTTCAGCATGAATATTCAAACAGTCAACTTCAAAAGTACCTTTAAATGTTAAACACACATGTATCAAAGCTTAAAAAGTGTAAGACTTTTATTCACAAATCATTGTAACGTACGAAATTAAGTTCAGAAAGAATTTATGTTACACCTCCCAATTACAAACTTTGGCAAATCTGTTAAAATGATCATGTGCTTGATTTAGACTGCCGAATATTAGAATGAGTTTTGATAGGAAATACATTTCGGCTCATAATGGTAGAGTGGATTGAGTGTTCGTCTTTCTTGAGTGTTCGTCTTGTGGGAGATGGTATCATCAGATATGCGTTGGAGTGCAGATGACTACAGCTCAGGCTGCAGTAATGGTTTTCGAATGCCGCGCATGTGGTATCAAATAAGAGCCACATGACATGGAAGGTAAAGTGGACTCCAACTTAGGGTTATATGCGTGTGGTACAAATATGAGCCACCCTGATATTCTAACCCCCCCAAACAAAACAAAACAAAAAATCTTAGATGTCATTCAGATGTGCATGCGAGATCTACATGTAACTTTTCAGGAGCCTATGCAGAAAGTAAGTTTTGGTTACCCCTTCGCAAATGAATTTGATATTTACAAACAGTACCATTTACCTGAAACCATGTTTCTCCAGCCTATTCGACTGTGGGGCGGCTCACTTCACTGATTTGAGTGAGCACATCCAGTTTTTCTGTAACCGCCTAACAGTAAAAATAGACAAAGATGGATTGAAAAGCAAAATGACTTACCTTTTTCAAATTGATCTTATTTTAAATGATGATTAAGATAAGACTTGTTGCATTATTAGAGAAATCTTCACAGTTTAAATATTTATGTAAGTTGTATTAACGTGTAATGTGTGTGAAGAAGTAGTATGTATGTATGTATTCAGTTTATTTCGACCTGAAACTGTGCTGTTCAGTTAGGATTCTCTCCAAAACTACTATTATTTAATCAATCAATAAGAAACCTCCATATCACTTTCCAC